GCAACAGAAAATGTTCTAAAACGCAACAGTATGTTATAGAGTTTGGGCTGTATGGTAGGGCCAGTCATAAGTACATCGTTGAGGGAGTACCCGGTGGACGAAGCTGCAGAGCCGTCAAATACAACCCGTAATTTTGTGGTGGTGCTGTCTTCCTTCATTACGCAGTGATGGGGTAAAAAATATTTGCAAAGATGACGATTTTCTTCACTAACTAAAGACATATGCCCCAAGTCTAAGTATTCTTGCATAAACGCAGCGTAATTTTGCTTTAGTTCAGGTTGGCGATCTAATTTACGCTCTAGATTTAGGAATCGACGCAATGCTTGCGGATATGACTCACCTAGCATACTTATATTGGGTTTAATAGGCAATCGAACCGAATAGTCCCCAGTTGATAATCGAGTAAAGTTAGCCTTGAAGTGGGATTCACAATCAATCTCTTCCTTGGTATATTTGACTACAGAGGAAGCGCAGCTTTCAAGCTCCCAAAAGCGACGCACCAACTGATCAAGCTGAGTGGATGGTTTCGTTGAGGATACCGCGTTTAGAACCCTTGCTGTTCTGGGCTTAGAGTCGCCACCTGTGACCACCCATCCTAATCTGGTTTTTTGAAGTAGCGGCAGACCAGAAGCCAACTTGATCTGCCCAACACACAAAAGATCATAGAAAAGACTTGCACCTATAAGCATATCAACGCGTTGGGATTTGTGAAAGTCTTTATCTGCTAGACGAATGTTGGAGGGAATGTTCCACGATGCTATATTTAGACTGAAGTTAGGTTGATTGTCTGTTATGTTGGGGGCTACTAAAGCAGAAATGAAAGTAGTGTATTCAGAAGTTTGAGAACGAAGATTTATGTTGACAGTAAAACCATCAGACTGGAACTCGGAGTCGCCAAGACCAGATACAGCTGCAAATGATTTAGTTTTGCGCAGTTGTAATTGCTGAGCAAGTCGAGATGTGATTATGTGCAATTGCGATCCGGAATCGAGCAACGCACGACAGGGTACCCATGTACCAGCACTATTCTTGACGTCAACAACCGCAGTAGCGAGGAGCACAACATCACAATTGAGATTCGGGGCACCCGAAGAATCAATGACAGAAGGGGAAACAACAGTGAGAGAGCGATGTGGATGTTGCGGAGTAGATTGCGATGACAATGGAGGGTTTTGTTGTTCATTTATTATCAACAATTCTAAGAGCAAATTTTGCCTAAAGCAAGTGCGATATCTTGGTTACATAGTCGGTCACAGCAACCTACAAACGGATCCCGATAAAGTATCCGCAATCAGTGAATACCTACCACCGAAGACGGTGAAGCAGTTGCGTTGCTTTTTAGGCATGGCTGGTTGGTACAGGCGTTTTATAGCGAACTTCGCCGCCATTAACACCCCACTGACGGAACTTCTTAAGAAAAATCGAGCATTCGAATGGAATGATGATGCTCAAGAAGCTTTTGATCTTCTAAAGCAGCGCTTAACATCAGCACCTATCTTAGCCAATCCAGATTTCAGCAAACCATTTGCCAACCGATGCGAGTCAGTGTGGAGTAGGCGCGGTGCTCGCACAAGAAAACGAAATCGGAGAAGAAATACCTATTGCCTATATGAGTCAAAAACTAAACAAAGCACAGCGTAATTACTCCGTTACTGAGCAGGAATGCCTAGCTGCTGTTTTGGCTGTGAAGAAATTTAGACCATACATCGAAGGACAGGAGTTCAAGATCATAACTGGTCATGCCAGCCTTCGATGGTTGATGAAGCAATCCGATCTTAGCGGTCGTTTAGCGCGCTGGGCGCTAAAATTACTTGCATTCACCTTTTCGAACGAGCATCGCAAAGGATCCGCTAATATAGTCCCAGATGCACTGTCTTGTGTAAATTCAGATAGTATTGATGAGATAGGAATGCCATGCGAAAATGCACCCGTTATAAACCTAAAATCTTCAGAATTCGACAGTACGGAGTATAATTGCCTAAGAGATAGACTTAAGCGCCACGAGGAACAGTTTCCTGACTTCAAGGTATTAGATAAGTATATTTACCCCCGCACTGAGTTTTATAGTGGTGAAGCAGAACAGCAAGAAGCTGCTTGGAAGCTCATGGTACCTAGTGCTCTGCGAAATCAAGTTTTGCATAACGCACACAACATAGATACAACTGCTCACGGTGGAGTCGCAAAAACGGTTGAGAGGATCAGACGATTTTGCTATTGGCCTGGCCTATATCGTTAGTTAGGGAATATGTGGCAGGATGTGAAGTTTGCCAAACAACAAAACATTCGACCAAAGTGCTAAGACCACCCATGGGTAATTTTACACCGACAGAACGAATATTTCAGAGAATTTATATTGATCTCATCGGACCATTCCCACGATCCAAAAGTGGCCATATCGGAATACTAATAGTATTGGATCACATGTCAAAATTTACATTCCTTTGCCCCCTGAAGCATTTTACCACCTCGCCCATAGTTACCTTTTTGAAACAACAAGTATTTGATACTTTCGGCGTTCCGGAGTTCATTGTTAGTGACAATGGAAGTCAATTTCGCTCGCGCGAATTTGAAAGCTTCCTCAATAAATTTGGCGCTAAACATGTATGTACAGCGATATACTCTCCCCAAAGTAACAGTTCGGAACGAGTAAATCGCTCAATCAACGCTGCGATTCGTGCGTATAAAAAAAAATGATCAGCGAGATTGGGATCTGCATTTAAGCAGCATAAACTGTGCCTTAAGGAATTCTATTCACCAGACGATTAACCAGACTCCATTTTATGTTGTGTTTGGTCAACATATGATGACACACGGACAGGACTATAAGTTGCTAAGAAACATTGAAATGATTGAGGAAGGAAAGGTTACAGATCAGGCGAATAGATTTGATAAGCTTGTACATGTGAGGGATTCGGTACGCGAGAATATTCAAAAGGCTTATGAAGTAAAT